TTAAAAAGTTTACACTTTAACTATCATGAAAGTTTATAAGTAGAACTTTCTTCTACATTCTTCTTCGAAACGAATAGATATTTTAAGAAGGAAAAAAATTACCCGAAGGAGATTATTCTTTCGAGATTTAAAAGCGTCCAGTATAAAATCCATTTTCTATGTCGGCATAACCTCGACATTTTTATTATCGAGACACTATGTCATTTCTCGTGTAGACCTTTGATTTTTTTTTTTCAATAATCACATTAAATCAGATTTATAATAAATCTAATGAATAGAAAAGAAAGAAAAAAAAAAATCAGTTCAAATTATTCGCGTGAGAAATGTTGACAAGAGTAATAGGAGGAAAATAAGAAAAGAAAAAAAGAATTGTTAGTTAAACCGGGCAGTTTACAACTGGTAACTCCGTAAAATGAAATTATTTAGCTCGCACGAATTGGCGACGGCAAATTCTCGCTTAATTAAGTTCTCTCTGCACGTCGCGTTGCCATTTGTTAATTGCAGGCAAGTATTGACATGAGCCCGACGAGGAATTTCAAACTCTTTAATTTCATGTAACTTAATAAAATTGTACACATAAAAAAAAACAATGTATGTATAATATAATAACACGAAAATGAATTAACTATTGCGAATACGATGGAAAAAAATTATTTATAAAAATGAGACAAAAATTTTCTCCTGGTAGGTGGTCTAAGCCATGAAATCGATCGAAATGGAGACACTATGGTTTATTAAATTCAATGTTGAGAATAAATGCAAAGTCCTAGAAATAGAATAAAAGTAAGGTCGAACAAAGATCGATCGAATTCAAATTGAAAGAAAAAGAAATTGTCTGGAAATCTCTTGATTTTATTCTTTTATTATTAGGGATTTTTAACCCTAATTATAGCACTAAATCTTTTTTGTTGACACATGAAGACGAGCAAGCATTGACCTATTGGTATTTCGGTGAGTCGATAATTCAAACATTGTCGAGTATTATGTAGTCTTGCACGTGAATATATATGTGTAACAATATATATGTTTGTGATCATATATATACATATATATATATATATATATATATATATATATATATATATATATATGTATATACGTATGTGTGCACCCAAGATATATAATATACTTCACGATACTCGAATATACGTGTATATACAAACGTACAAACACACTTATAACGTGGTTTACATGTCGATGGGAGTTGTGTTTGCGTTGACGAACAATCAGGCGGTATTTGGAAACGATGACCTCTGAAAATACGAACGATCGATCGTTTCGCAAATAGGACGATGTATCTTTTTGTTACATCCGTATATCTATGCACCTTTGTATGCGTATCATTCGATTTTGTAATCTAAAAATATTCGAAAGATATTGAACTTTTACGATTCTTAGCTATAAAAAAAAAAGAGAGAGAGATTAATTTGTTCGTTAATAATTTTAGAGCATTTATACATATATGGGTATATACATACATATACATGTATATAGTGATATTAACGAGAACGATAACTGCGCCACGCCCATATGCCTTCTACAAATTCACATGCGTGCTATCGAACCATACGATTGCCCCTCTATCTTTCATTTGTACCCTTTTCTCCCTTTTCCCTTATTTCTCGGAACACTTGGAAACTCAGAAGGTTATTCATGAAATGCAAAAAAAAAAAGAAGAAAATAAAAGAAGGGAAAACCAACAAAGACAATTTATTTTGTCCAAAAGTGGATTTTCTTGAAAATAAAAAAAGAAAACAAATACTATTTTACCTGTAACCTCCCCCATGGGGAGAAAATTTATTACATCTTATATATATAGTCTGTTTTTCGAAACAACCCACATCCTTCTTACGCCCACGAATAGAGAGTTGTGAAGTGTTCCGGAAAAACGGCAATGTGAATAAATCCGACACGTGCAAAAGAGAAAGAGATATAGAAAGAGACATAGAGAGAAACAAAAATTGTGACGTGAATTTTAAAAGTCCAAATACGATTTACGACGCTAGTTGATGTGAAATATGTGACGATTGAGTCGGTCGTAAATCGAAGCGTTTCGAGATAGAAATTTTTGAAAGTAAATAAAATGAGAGATAGAAAACGAAGCAGGACATAAGGGAGTACTATCAGAGAGGGTAGGGTTTACAGTCGGGTGTAGTCGGCATGGATACATACATAAATACATACATACATATGTATATATATATATACATATATACATATACATATACATACATATGTACTTACTACGTACGTACATACTTATGTACATAAATACATAGAATTCGAGTAAGACCGGTGTAAAAGGGAAGGAAAGAGGTTCCACGAAGAGAGTGCACGTCCAAGCTCTATAAATATAAACAGGCATTTAAGGCCTGCAACCCCTCCATCTGTCGCGACGGGAGGAGACAAACGCACACACCCACACGTATACCGGGTTGTAAGTACATATGCTAAAACATGTACACGCGAACACACATACTTACATACTTACATACACACGTGTCTCGTCGACTCGCATGCCCGTAACTTTAAAGATCAAACCTCCTTTTGATTCGTTTGTCTACCAATCGATCTTTTCTTCTTCTATTTATTATCTACGTAAAGTTTTAATTTATTACCTGTCGTTTGTTTAATTGTGTTATATTATTTCAAATTGAAATAATTTCTTATTAACTCTCAATAACGACATGTAACTTACTAGTAACATACTTATTTATAAATTTTTAAGAATATATATTATTTCATTTATATTAAAAAAAATGCAAATATATAAATATGTCGATTGAATGAATAACTTATATTTTTGTATTTTAAAAAATATAAATTGAATGAATCAAATTAAGAATAATATTTTTTTATAACAGAAATAAATATAATATATATATATATATATATATATATATATAAAATACAAAACTCGAATATTATATCAAATATTACATTATAAAAGATATATATCATATATTTATTTTTGTATTGAAAAAAATACAAAATTATAATTACGTTAGTATATTAAATATCATTTAATTTTTTCTTTACAAAGTTAATTAATTTATATTTGAAGACTAATATTTTCCCAAGTGTAAATATTAATATATTTTTACTATAACTTTCACGTTATATCTATATTTTTTTCTTTTAAATACGAAAAAAAAATTGGTTTATGGAGGGTTAATACGAAGACGACGAGAATGTGTCGAATGAAGTGTCGTGAAGTCATCGCCAGAATCACTGTTTCGCGCACACTCATCTTTTCTCTCCTCTTCTCGTTCATTCTTGTTCATTCTCGTTCATCGTCTCTCGTCCCTCTTTACGCTAAATTTACGCGCAAAAAGACGATACTAGATGGAGAAAAAAAGCTTACGACTTATGTGCCATCGACGCTCAAGTTGAAATCAAGCAAAAGAGGGAGAAAAAGAGAGAGAAAGAGAGAGTAAGAGAAAGCATATATACGTTCTTACGACGTTATTTTCATCCTCTTCTTGGCCCTTTTCTTTTATCTTTTTTTCTTTCTTTTCTTCAAAATTATCGAAAACAAGGCGAATCTATATGTTTAAATGCAACGACTATGAAAAAAAGCTTTCAACGATAACGTATCTTGCTCTAATAAATAGCTCTCTTTATCTCTCTCTTTCTCTCTTTCTCTGTTTAGATAAGAACACATCACCGGTTATAATAATAACCCAATACGCGATATTATCGATCTTCGATTTCTTTTCTAAAATATGTACACTAAGGAAAGAATCTTTTCTATAAAAATGCAAATCTATAAAAGAGTAAGAGAAAAAGAGAAAAAGAGAGAGAAAGAGAGAAAAAGAGAGAGATACAATTAGAAATAAAATATAATTTACTATTCGATTAATAAACGTATATATCCGTGAGATTAGGAGAAAGAAAAAGAAACTTTCTTTTATGTCCTCGTAAAAGGAAAAGGATTTCGATTCTTTGTGAAAAAACGGGAGGAACAAAATTGACTTGTAAGAATCGTCGCTGACGCAATGCGGAAAGCTTGAACGATGGGCTGACATACACTTGCTTCTTCTCTTTCTCTCTTTCTCTCTCTCTCTCTCTCTCTCTCTCTCTCTCTCTTTCTTTCTCTCCTTCTTGTCTTTTTTATCACGTTTTATCAACTCGACGTATACGTTTTTATGTCAAAAATAAAGATAAAGTTGATAAATTTTTGTCAGGATTGCAAGTTTCGATAATAATAAATGTTCATTTATCGATTATCTATAGATAAAACGATTGATTTTATGTTTTTACTCGTTAAATCTAAGTAATGATAAATAACTTAATATGACTGATTCGATTCTTTAATACCAAGTGCAATTTCAATATGATGTTTTTAACGATTAAAGAGAACGAGAGAAAAAATATATTTGAACTATACAATTGGCAGAAGTTCTTTAGACTTCTCTAAACACTGTAACGTCCCGCATAGCAACAAGGGTATCGCGAAGTAGTCGAGTAAGCTTCGTCGATAAGTCGGAAGAAGGAACCCACGCATACGTTCATCGAATGCAGAAAGGACCGTTAGATCCCTGTATGTAGACGGAAAGTCAAACAACACGAATGAGACACGTACCTAAATATTAATCCGAAAACAACGAGTTCGCGTTTGAATGTAATCTAGATTAAATCTTTTACTCTGTTTTCATCATACATTATTTTATTCTATTACTATTATCATTGCATTCTATTATTATTATTAACCATATCTTTTTGATAATGGATCTTTTATCCTGGAATTAAATCAATCCATAAAATTTCCAGATAATTTGATGAATCTGATCCAGTAATGATAAGAATAAATAATTATTAGATCATCTTAATGATCTAACTATTCAATAACCCAAATAATTGGACAATCAATATGTGATTTTAACGAAGATGATAATATAATAGTAAACTTTTATAAATCTCTAATATAATTCAGGTATAAAAAATTTATTAACTCATTAAAATAAAAAAAAAATATTAAGCAACTAGATCGCACAAACCTTTGGCAAGACGGTTGAGAATAAGATCCTTATGTTGTGCGATATGGGGTTCGGGAAGCACCACGAGTAGATAGCAACCACTTAAGGGCGATGGTGGTGGATGTTGTTGCTGCTGTGATCCTGGAGGCACTGCGCTGCTTGTTATCGGTGTACTCGGTGTTACATTTTGTTCGGTATTTGTGGAAGGTGTCGTTGCAGACTGCCCCCCTCCACCCTCCCCAGCGGGATCTGTTGTACTCATAGCTGAAAAGAAAAATAAAATAACGTCAGGCTATTTATTTATAAATAATTCGAAAAAGAACAAATGCTAATAAAGAGATAATCTGGAAAAGTGAATAAAATTATTATTTCATTTCTTTCTATCTCAATGATAATTCAACCCCGACAATCTAATTGTAAATCTAAAGTTTACAAAGCTCTCGCTAAGCAATATTTACTAATGAAAATCTTAACGCGAAAGAAGAGATGTCACGATTCGTTTCCAAATTCCTATTCTTCTTTTACTTTCCTTCTGTTCGTTCCCAATCAAGTTTCGAAATTAAACTGACAATTTCAAAAAGTAAATAACCAGACGTCCAGAGAAAAAGACAAATTGCTCAATAAACCTTGCGATAAAGCTGCTAATAAAGCGGCAAAGTTTATTCACCGATAAGACCTCTTTTCTTCTTCTTGGCTGAGATCCTTTGATCTCAGACAGAAATATAACGAGTGAAATCGAAGAGGAAGAGAAGAGTGTAACTTTTCCCTTTCTCGGCACCTACAACTTTGCGCAGTAGTAATTCACCCCTCCACGATGACTGTAGCTCACTCTGGTGAGTCTATGTTACCTGGTACACGCCTGATACTGCTATATGTTTTATAGGTTAGGTGTTTTGTTCCTATACCGATATAATTGAGAAAAAATTCATGTTCAAATATTAGAAGAACTGAAGAATATAGAAAGAATACATTACATTGATGAAAAATAAAATATTCAAATAATTATTTAAAGAATTTCAAGAAAGATATAAAATAGTTGTCAGTCAGGTCAGCTATGCTTCTCAGCTAAGCCGAACATCGATGAGGTTCCATTGAAACCTTACGAAAAGACTGAACCTTTACACGAACGGAAAAAGGGTTAGTCGAAGTGAATCTAATGAAAATCTATATTCTAGTTGGCTCACCGGTTCACTGTATATTATCGGTGCTATTAAATAAGCTAAGACAATTTCATTTTTTGAAAATATCAAATGAGCTATTCCTCAAACTATTCGGCTGGTATCGGCACACGGTATTGCGCAGGATTTACGCGAAGCACTCGCAAGGAGAAAGAGTTCAAGGAGTAGGTCCTATTGAACCAATGCGCAGGATCCAAGCCGGCTCTCGGCAGGTTAGATCATTGATCCAAATTCTGACTGTGACTATCATAAGACTAACCAGTCAGAAAAAGCTCTCGATTATTCACCTTCTCTGTCTGTCTGCCTCTTTCCCTCTCCCTCTCTCTATCCCTTCCTCTCTCTCCCTCTCTCTCTCTCTTTTTGTTTTTAAGGAAATCAAATTTAGATTTTGCTAGTAAGACTATAAAAATCACTATGATACAGGAACAAATAAATAGATGAATATGTTAGTACTTTAACAATAAAGATAGATTATCGTATTTGATATTATTATGCTAAGAACTAAAAAAAAGATAATTTTACATTCGATCGAATTCATAAACAGAAGAGAAAAAGAGAAAGAGAGATACCGCAATCCTTCCGAGAATTGTCACCGCAGTGCACACCCACCACCGGCAACCCCTCCCCTAAACTCAATCCAAGCGCAATTTAGACGCAGCCCTCGATAAAAATCCATATGATTTATCGGATGAGAATTTCAATGAGATAATCGAGAAAATAAATTAAGTTAACACTTTTTTTTCCTAACCAACATCATTTAATTTACATATAATATACACTCCCTAGAATCTAACACGCCACGTAAATGTTCAAAATGGAAACACACAAAATTAGGCCACTCACCTCAGTCACGTATAGCTCCTCCTTAATTCCAGGTTACCCGACGTATCCTGGAAGGTACTTCCTTCCAAAACAAAATATGAAATTACCACGACGATGATGAGAACGACAAGGCTTCAGGATCGGAAGTACCGCTTCTTCTCCGATCGATCGTTATTTTTTGACGTTTGACAGGCCGTTGTCGGTGCGAAGCTTAGAGACGTCAGGTGGCGCGAACGCGGTCTCCCCTTCGTGTTGCACACGATCCCGTGTGTATATACGTGTCTGTCTGTCCGCTATGTGTGTATATATATGTGTATACGTAGAAGGGGGAGAGAGAAGCCGTGTCACGAGACACTAGAGAGAAAAGTTTTTGGAATTTATCGAAGAGAGATCAAAAAAAGCTAACAATTGTGCCTTGACATCGTTGAATAAACAGGCTTCCGTTAACTCTTTCCTTATTACTATAACGATTCTCTCTTCCTCTTCCTCTCTCTCTCTATTTCTGTCTGTCTGTCTGTCTGCCTTTTTGTGTCGATAGCTTTAAAACGTTCGAACTAGCTCGGCAGCAGCTTTCGCGTTGGGGGCTGCCGGCTCTCTGACAGACGCTGTGGCCCCCTGCATCGTTCCACGCAGAAGCCCCCACCTTTACATCCCGAGAACTAACCCCACCACCGCACAAGGAAGAACTCGATTGGTCGAAGAAACCAGCCGGGTTCCTACCTACGCCGTGCGTCGATGCTTTTTACACTAACCGACTATATAGATACAGTGATATCACGTAGGCTCGCTCTTTCGTTTCTACGATACCAATACTATTACTACTACTATTATACTACTATTATTGCTACTACTATGCCTAAAGTATTATTACTACTATAACTAAAAGTAATATTCTTTATTGGTAGACTATCAGTGTACGTAAAGTTCAAAGCTAGGTATCAAGAATCAGGGAACAAATTTGTATACGTTTAGGATATGTTAAATAATTATTAGTTTACCTAAACTGTACCAATTATTTTTCCATTTTACGTATAAAATAGAGATAGATAGGTAGATAGATAGATTAGATAGATAGATAGATAGATAAATAGAGAAAGAGAAAAAGAGAGAATCTTAGATTTAAACTTGATATAAAATTTTCGAAGACCTTTCTCAAGATTTAAGTGATAGTATCTTCTCAAAGCTAAAAATAAATCAAACTACGAGTGATCACAAATCAGAATTAATTCCTCTGTTTGTGATCTCTATAGACTGATAGAACGAGTCGAGTGTCCCCCTGTGGATCAATGAAATATACGTATACGCTCTTTGCCGGCGCGCTACTGGATAATTATATCACGTTAAAATTATTCCCCCGGAGACAGTGCCATTACCCTTAAAGGTATAGTTACATTCTGAACATAAGTATCGTCTATTGGAAAGAACGAGGTTAAAATTTGGAATATGTGGATCGTATTCATGATTCTTATTATGATGATCGAAGAGAATCAAATTTATAATATATACAACAAATTCTTAGAAAATTCATAAAACCTGTAAAATTTACATACGAAAGATTAATGAAACTCTCGAGTTATATGTACAAGGTTGTAATTAATAATAGATCAATTGTAAAGAGACCGCGAGGATCTTAGGAAAAGTTAAATAAGGTGTTCAATGAGAAGGATTGTTTCTTAAAGGATGAAGTTCCGAGAATCCATTTTATTGTTCCGAAGATCGATATTTCCGTGAGATATGAGAAAGCAAACGGAAAATGTCTCGTAAAAACTTCATCGATACTTTTCCGAATCATCGATTTTCGTCCTCTCGTATAATTTGTTCGAAACAATAAAAAGAGAGAAGGGGATGTAAAGGAAAGATAAAGAGCTAAGAGAGAGAGAGAGAGAGAAATAGCGCCAGCAAACGAAGAACGTGCCGACGTTATGGCTATTTGTCGCAATGCGGTGAGCCTTGTCTTGCATTGTATAATCCTCTTTTACACTTCACCTTTCGTTCGAAGCATTGACCTCGCGCGTTAAATATCAGGAGAGACGCTCGATTTAAAATTTGTCGCACTGAAATAAAAAAAAAACGTTTTATCAGTTTTATCTTTTAGAAGCTTCGTCATTGGAAAAAGTCATATTTCATCATGGATGGCCGAATTCTTTCTCCATCCTTCTATTTCATCTTTTTATTTCGTTTATTTTTATTTTTATTATTATTCTTTTTTTTTTAATCGATCGAGTGAAAAGAAAAAATTAAACAGAAGATAGAGGTCTTAAGGAATTTTTGAACACCATGTATGGACGAATACGTGACTGACATATGAAGAAGCTAATCTATTCGTTTGATGTACGTAAGACTTCCTGCCTCGGCCAAAATAGCCAGCCGTATCGCCCCTTTCCCTCTCCCTCACCCTCTCTCTTTCTCTTTCTCTCTCTCTCTCTCTCTCTCTCTCTCTTTATCTCTCTCTCTCTCCCTCTCTCTCTTTGCATATATATATAAACATACAAAAATTAACAAAATACAAAAATTCTTGATGAATAGAAAAATGAATAATCCTACTGAAGTTAAAGATCTTATGTCCGTCCAAAACGAAACATTACTACTGAATGAAATAAAAAATTCAATAAAATGTACTTCGAAAGAGTACGAGGCTCCTTTTTTTCTCTCATTTTCTCTCTCTCTCTCTCTCTCTCTCTCTCTCTCTATTTTTCTCGTATTTACTTTTTTTTAAGTATCTTTCATTCAACATGAATCAATTATTTTGCGAAACTCGAAACACGCTTTCCTTAGAAACGTACCGTGTCTGTCTCCGATAGGCCATTACTACTGAATGCGAAGTAGATAACGCAAAGAAATGAAGAAGTTCGCTTCGAAAGAGGTTGAAGTTGCCTCTTTATTCACGTGATTCTATCTGATTCTCTTTTTCATATACCTTTTCAATGTTAATTAATTAACAATTAATAGAATAAAGCATACGATTCTTCTACAATGTTATTGATTTCATATGCAATTTTGTATATTTATATTTTTTTTTACATTAACACTCAACTTAACAGTCAATAAAAATTCTAAAAAGTTCGTACATGTTCATTTTCGTGGTTCAGTCTAGAATAGATTTCGAGTATCTTTTAATGCAAATGCAATAAGAGCTACATCACGATTAAGGGCCAATTTTCGATTACGTTGCTCGATTTATCGATCGACCGTGTTTTGTTTCGATTGCCGCAGTGCTTTCTCCTGGTAGCTAGTACCGTATTCTCGTATCCTAGACCTGTCCCCTCCGCTTCTACGATTTTGACGCGGTGCCGAGGAGGGCGATCGATTTCGACAATAAACATTTTTTCGGTTCCCTTTCTCTTGTTTTTCTTTCTAGATTTACCACCCACGATCTTTACTCTTTTTTTTTTTATCGACGACTTCAAAATCTCTCGATTATCTATGATTCGAAAAAAAGAAAAAGCATATTTAAACGTCAAACTAATATTCGCTAATTTATTGTAAATGAAGTGATTTTTCAATATCGATAATATTTTACAAGATTTTACTATTCTATTCCAAGGATATATTCTTTACTAAGTAATCCTTAAAAAATCATTAGAATTACTTCGATTCAAAATTACTATGATATTTTTCTATAACCTTGACGAATCATATTCTAATCATCTATTCCGAATAACTCGAGAATATATAATAAAAATTGAAGAAAGTCAAGTAGAAAATTGTTTTCGATAGATTTAACAGATACCAAGGGGTGAATGCGCAAAGGTGACGGCACTGAGCATACTGCGCGGCGCTAGTATTGACCGGCGCCCCATACTAACCGTGTTGAGAACATCTGAAACTGAAGTATAGCAAAGTCCTCTCTCTCTCTCTCTCTTTCTCTCTCTCTCTCTCTCTCTCTCTCTCTTTTCCTTTTTCTCTCTTTCTCACCCTCCTTGCGAAGTTAGAGACTTGCTCTTGTCTTCGCGAAGCTTCAACGAGACGTCCTCTTAATCCTTGCAGGCTCACGTGCACCTGTGCGTGGCCCTCACTGAAATAAGGAGAAAGAGACGACTATGATGACTATGACGACTACAACGACGATGTTGACTATGATGGGGAAGACATGAGGGTGATACGCATTTCACGCACGTGTCAACCCTTTCGAGACTTACCCTCTTCTATGACTTTTTCCCCTGTAACAGTTAATTGTTAATTTTATTATGTGCTTCTCTCTTTTCTCTCTTCTCTTTCTCTCTCTCCCTCTTATGAATACTATATAAAAAAGAAAATAACAAAATATTATTGAAATAACTATTCTTATTCTTTATGCTGTATGTAATTATTTACATTTACTTGATTAATAATATTTCTTTTTTCTTTCCTCTTTTTAACTATCTTTTATACATGTATATAGTCTTCCATCTTTTCTCTTTTCATCAGCCGATCGTTCTTCGATCGAGTCCGGCATACTTGCTACGGCACTGCACACAACGATCGTTATATCCGCAATGGGATACAACGACGTATTGCAGCACGTATCGAGGCGCCTAAAAATTCCCTTTCACGTCATTTTTTTTCTCGTCAGTTGATCAGGAAAAAAAAACATAAAAATAACCACAACAACAAAGGTTAAATCGATTATTTACATTAACGAGACGATTATTTTAAATTATTTTCGATTATTGTACCGTTTATATTCGAGCTCGTTCGTTCTACGAAAAAATTAAACGCATAAAAATGTCGACGTATACATATAATCGACGCTTTGAAGTTGGTGATTATTGGAGCAAGTAAATTTCAGCTCGATGAATTTTCCAAAAGTTGAGCTTAAAGAGATTTCCAGATCTTGTAACTTTTCTTTTTTTCTTTTTTTTTTTTTTTACCAAAGACAAGAAAAATAAGAAATATTCGTAATATCTACGTATACCTTTCGAGTGTCTTCAGTGCGAACTTGATATTTCGCACGTGCGACGAATAAATTTTCATCGTTGGGTACTACCAGTCATAGTCCCTTATCTCATACTCTTCTCTTCTATTTCTTTCTCCCTTGACTCCCTTATTTTCACGAAAGTTATATGCCAGACATCTAGAACGAGTAGAAAATCTTTTAACAAGGTGTAGTACATATGTATGCACATATGTACCTATGTATGTATATTAATTTTCAAAGACATGTCATTCAGATACAAGGATAGACTCTTCAAACGAGACACCTACGCGATCTGTCAAATCGTATTAAGTGGGAAACTTCCCATGGAAAAAATAGTCGTATCTATAAGTATACAGAAAAAATAATAATAGAATAGAAAAGGATAGATAGAAAATTATTTGTTATATTTATATGCTTTGAAATTTGTGCCCGTTATTGGCAGAAATCGTTTCGTAAAATAAGCGGAGCAGATACTTTTAATTAAGGTATGCTAATGAAGAAAAGAAAAAATCTTTAGTAGTTCGGCCTCTCTCTCTCTCTTTCTCTCTCTCTCTCTCTCTCTCCCTCTCTCTCTCTCTCTCTCTCTTTCTCTCTCTCTCTCTCTCTCTCTCTCTCTCTCTCTCTCTCTCTCTCTCCCATAATTTCAGTTTCTTGAAGCATAAAACGAAGGAAGAATGGAAAATCGT